GAATATACGGTATTTGAGTACAGATATCGAATAGGTAATCGAATAATACTAATGTGTTTATCATAAGCTTTTTTATTAAAGTAAAATTAATAATCTGATAATAACGATCTAAAATAACAATATGACGATATTATTGGACATTTGTTATTTTCATAAAAGTAAACTCAGAAATTTATTGAAAAAATTATCGAGTCTGATGAAGTATTCGAAGACCTGTACAAGTACTCGAATATCAAGGAAGAGGGTGGTTCTAATGGAATCTAAAAGCCCCATTGCTAGCAATATATCCCTATCAAGTTACTACGTAGTTCAGCCTGGAAAACATCGTGATTATTTCTTGTTAAATTCGTCATAATGGGCCAACTGACCTGCTTTCATCCTAGCTTATCATCTCACTGGTGCCTCGCCGAGGGTGAAAGAAATGTTAATAATGATGACTAGTGTTCTTTCCTGGAAACCATCGAGGATAATGTCGATAGCGCAGGCGGGGTCACTAATTCATATTCATCCACTGGTGCTTCGCCAACGCGCAATCGAGTTACAATTCCGTTTTCATTCATAAAAAAAAAATCCGTATTCTATTCGTGTTTTAACCGTAAAGCAGTTGTGTTTGCATGGCTGTGTTTCGGTTTGAAAAAATAAAAGCGGAAATAAAAATTATTTTAAAATTTACAGATTTCATACAATTGTATTTTTTTTATTGGGTCATATAAATTTTTTATCGAAATAATAAAATAATTGTCTATATAATTTATAATTATGCCTTATAGTTTTATTCCATGTTACAGAAGTTAAATTATATTTAATTTTTAGAAATATAGGAAATACTCGTTTTTTTTAGCAAATAAGCTAATATACAATTAGGGCGGGAAAGGGGTTGTTAGCAATGGAGTTTGACAGCCCTATTGCTAGCAATATGCCCTATCAGGTCGACCTCCACGTCTATAGGCGGCGGTTACCACTTTCCATCAGGTGCACCGTCAGCTTGTTTGCCATTCTAAGTTGTATAAAAAAAAAGAATACTCGAAGACATGTCCGAGTATTCGGATTTGTAGGATTCAACTTTTTTTAACGACTATTAAAATAGTCGAATACGAGAAAGAGCCGACATGGCACATCACTAATCTTAGCGAGGCTTTATTATGTTTTCACAATATTTGATGATTTAAAAATAATACAATACTTACATAGGAGTACTTATAACATATAACTATATTAAATTTATAGGATTACCGCATGGGACAATAAACCTCAATGGTTGTTTACGAAACATTAACAAATATGTGTATTTATATTTGTTATTTCTACAAATAGGTAAGACCTGTTTGTTTTCATAAGAGCTTTAAATTAAAATAAATACGATATTGCCATTATGAAAAATATTAAATTTTCGTATATTGTTTAAAACCGTTTTGTGAATAGACCAAGGGCGTTTCACTGAAACGGAACATATCATTTGAATAGATACATTGTTACTTTAATGAAATCTGAAGGGTAAAATAGGCACCTGTACGTAGAATTATAGAATAAGGTTCTTCCCTTCATCATCATCATATCACAGGGAGATTTTGTACAAGAGGCGTTTACTTGGGCACCTCTGTCCTATTCGTGTTTCAAATGTTAAGCAGTTGTGTTTGCATAGCTGTGTTTCGGTTTGAAGGGTGGGATATGGCAGTGAATTTACAGGGTACAGAGGTATAACACCCGAGTCTTCAGGAATGGCAACACATGGGGGGGGGGAAGGTATCATGGGCGAAACAGTATACTCTGTTATGTCCATAGTACTGCTCATGTCTATAGGAGACGGTTACCACTTTCCATCAGGTGGGCCGTCAGCTTGTTTGCCATTCTAAGATGTATAAAAAATCAGCCTTTAACTGTCTACTGCTGAACATAAGCCTCCCCTTGGGAGCTTTACCATTAGTTGCCACGCTTAGCAAGCGGATTGGCAACCGCAGTGAGACTTTAGACATGTTTTAAGAGGGACGCTGCTGTCCATCCCTCTCCCTCCCTTAGTCGCCTCTTACGACACCCACGGAAATGGGGTGACTATGCCTTGACCACACGGCCTTATGGATTCTTATATCAATTACCTTACTAGTTTCCCGCGTTAAATTTTATATATATTAAGTTAGGATAACACCTACCTGTGGGGGGAAAGGGATTATTAGTAATCGAGACTGAGAATCCCATTGCTAGCAATATACCCAACCAGGTCCACCTCCTCGCGGTTCCCCCTGGAAACTATCATGGTTAATTCCTGATGAATTCATCATGATGGGCTAACTGGCCTGTTTTCATTCTCATCTATCACCCTTCACTGGTGCACCGCCAGTGTATCCCGTTGGCGCAGGCGGGGTTAACCAATCCATTTTCATTCAACAAAAAAAAAAACACCTACCTGTACACAATATATACTAGTAAACCTATGAAGTCGTTTGAGCATTAGTGAATAACAAACATCCAAACACATCTTTACAAATTTTCACATTTAATAATAGAATAGTCAGATTATAATGTTAATAAGTTTATAAGTTTTCATTCACGTAACTCAAAGATAACAAACTTCTGCTAACTCTGACATCTGCGGACTGGACGGAGTTTGTTTGCGTTTTTTAAATGGTAATAAAAATATTTTTAAAGTATTATTAAAGTTGATTACAAAAGTTTCACAGTCTGTACGCCGACAGTCAACACTAGGCAACGAGAAGTGTTCTTTTAATTGCCTTAAGATGTCCCCTTTACGAGTAAAACACGTATCGCTATAAGTGCGTTGACATAATAACGGTCGGTTATTGACGACTAATAAAGAAGGTCGTAGAATTTTAAAATAATAATAATAGCAGTCGATCTTTAATTGTTGCCAGTCGCACGCATATTAATGGTAGCAGAAAGGGGGGTAAGGATTGTTAGTAATGGGGAGGTTAGACCCCATCGCTATCATCGACCTTAACAGGTCTACCTCCACGCGATTTCACCTGGAAACCATCGTGACTAATTTATCGTTGAATTCGTCACAATGGGCTAACTGACCTGCCTTTTCATCCTCACCAATCATCCCTCACTGGTGCCCCGTGTGTACCAATAGCGCAGACGGGGTTACCATTCCATTATCATCCATAAAAAAAATGGTAGCAGAAATAACTTCTGCAAAATAACACCTAATTCAGTAAAACATTTTCCTTTGATGTTTTGATGGTGTCTTAAGAGGCGATTAAGGGAACTTAATGGCGGAGAAGTAGACAGCAGCGGCCCTTTTAAAATATCAACAAAGTCTAATTGCGGTTACCAACCCACTTGCCAAGCGTGGCAATTACTGGAAAAATCCCCCAATGAGGGGAGCCCTATCTTTAGCAGTGGCCAATTAATGACTGTTATGGTACATGAATAGTTAAATTACAAGGTACTAAGGTATGACACCACAGTCTTCAAAAGTTTAACACAAGAAGGGTACGAAGAGTTTCATGGTAATATCCATGGTGCTGTTTATGTCTATAGATGACTATTATCACTTTATATCATCGACATCCACAGTATATTTGTATATTTCAAGAATGTGCTATTCGAGTAACTTCTATGGGAAGACGTGAATCGTTAAGAGAGAAATTTAAAAGAAGCACTTATTCTCACCATAGCTTTACAATACATTTACGTAAATATTTCGTATATACGTAACAATCTTCAACTGTTTCCTAAGAACAGCGATCTCAATAATCATAACACTAGATACAGTACTAAGTATAATAAGTAGTTCAGTAGTACTAATGAATAAATAAATAAATAAATAATCAATCGCAAAGAAAAGATTTGTCATATCTCGTCTTAAAAGATAAATATGTATGCAATGTCACTAGAGACAGCTAATAAGACATTAGCCTTCATTATCCTTTTAAAATAACATCCTATTAACCTGCAGGTTAAAAGACACGAACAAAGAGAAGGAAATTAGAGCTCCACTGCCGTTGGCTAGTCTATTTATTATATTTATTGATACCGAACGGCTGTATCAGGAGCTTTCATGTTTTAACTTACTCAATTGTGGCAATTTCGTATTTATGTGTAAATTTTTTAAAAACAATTCAACTACTTGCAATGTTTTCGATTCAATATTTAAAAATTGTTTAGACAGTTCAAATTGTTTTACCGGAGGGAACTTTGTACAAATCGTTTGCTTGGTTACCTCTGTCCCATTCGTGTTTCAACCGTAAAACAGTTGTGTTTGCATGGCTGTGTTTCGGTTTGAAGGGTGGGATATGGCGTGAATTTACTGGGTACAGAGGAATAACACCTGAGTCCTCAAGAATGGCAACGCATGGGGTGTATCATGGGCGAAACAGTATATTCTGTTATGCCCATGGTACTGCTTATGTCTATAGGCGACGGTTACCACTTTCCATCAGGTGGGCCGTCAGCTTGTTTATCATTCTAAGTTGTATAAAAAAAACAGCTAAGTTATATATTGTGACATAATTAACATTCATATTAAAAATAATTATATAATTATTTTATTTTATATACTTTAGTGTTATGCAAATTGCATTAATCAATTTTAATTATGACATTATGTTAAATAACCTCCAAAAGGGGGGTAAAGAGATTTTTTCAAGGCGGCAACGCGCGCGTAATACCTCTGGTATTGCAAGTTTTCATAGGCTACGGTAACCACTTATCATCAGGTGAGCCGTGTGCTTATTTGCCACCTCAGTGGTATAAAAAAATTAACTTATTTTATTAGTAAAATTATTAATTGAAAGATGGTATACGCATTGCATTATTTGTCTCCAGGCCGTGGATTGCCTATTCAACCATGGGTCTTCACATTATGTGATCTTTGACCTTGCGGGAATATTAAGTGATACTCAAATTAATTATATAATACATGCCCATACAGTGTTATTATGAACACGGCCATGTCAAAAGAAAATCGAATAACAAAATAAGATGTATATACAGATCCTTTCATCAGGTTGGTCATGAAAAAAAAATTTAAAATAATAAAATAGGAAGCAACACTGGCAAATTACTTTTAATAGATGCCATAAAATAATCAAAGATTTTAGAAAATAACATAGCGTTCATTTGACCAAAAGATTTTGTAATTCCTTGTTCTTAGCATTCGACACAAAGCAGTGACATTCAATGACAATTAAGTAATTTTAAACATATTTTTCGTTCTATTGATCGAAGAAATAACATAATTATAAAAACCATATAACCATAATTAAAGCTTGTATACTTATCAAGTAAAATTTATTCGTTTTAGCAATATGTTTTATCTACCATCTAACAGTCGTCTAATCGGACTCACAATAATCAGAAGATTCTGCGATTACAGAAGGTGAGTGGATGGAGATTAGAAATATTTTGTAAGCTACTTCTTACTTTTCATATGGGAAAGGAAGGGGTAGCCCGTTCTATGCCGTGACCTTATCTAATTTATAATTTAATCTGTTTCAGTTCCCCCATGCAAATATACGGTAATATGATGAAAGTTCCATTACTCGCTTCAAAAACAGTGGCTGGTGAAATATTAAGACATAAGCATCAAGTCACATATAAGCCATACGTGAAACCTTACTACCGGGACCACGACTCGAAGAATATGACTCTAAAGAGGCCAATGTCTCCACATCTCACCATATACGCTCCCACAGTGCCAGCGATGACATCCATAACACAACGTATTACAGGTAAATATTATTTATTACTAATATAATAAAATTACGATTTATTTATACCACGAAGATGGCAAACAAGCATACAGCTCGCCTTATGGTAAACGGTTACATTAGCCTATAGACGCCTGTTACACTAGGGGTGTCACGTGCGCTTTGCCTACCCTAAAGAAACCTTAGTATACCTTTTTTGAAAAACCAAATTCTGTAGTTTTCAGGGAAAACTTTGGCAGATAGCTTATTCCACAGCCTGAGTGTACGCAGGAGAAATTTGTTTAGAAACCGCAGAGATCGTGACCATTTAAGTTCAAGCGTGTAAGGATGAATTCCCTGTCGATAGCGAGCGATACAATGATAAAAAGTGACTATAGGCATCATTTCAAACAGTTCCTCAGAATACAATCCCTTATACAAGCGGTAGAACACGCAGAGGGTGGTAAAGTCTCATCTTAGACTTACGATCTATACTACGTGTGAGCTTGGCATGGTTGACTTTTCTGATAACTCGTCTTTAAATGGAGCTAAGAGGACTAAGATAGTATCCAGGAGCTCCGGCCTACAGATGAGAGCAGTACCCCATAAGGGCCAGACTCGTGACTAGTACAATAGTAGTCTTTGTCTTGGAATGAAGTACGGTTTTGCTTTATTGAGCACCCCGAAATTTTTGGACCCTGTCTTCAAGATGACCCTGGAATCTATAGTGCTGGAGATGTCGACATCGATGATCCCTATACTTTTGAAGATGGTAATGGATGTGTTCTGAAATTGTGGAGTCACAGTAAATAGTTTTTTTTTTTTTTTTCTGGTAGATACTCCACCGTTTCCCATTCTAAGTATCGTAAATTTGGGTTTGGCATTCTCATTATTATTGCACATCATCTGCTCGCCATCGACAGGGCATCCACCTTGACACCTTAAAACCGAAATGGTTACGCACTGCACGATTTCAGAGGAGTTTCCTCTCGCGAACACTCAGGTTATGGAATGATTTTCCAACCGAGGTTTACCCTAGAGACTACAGTATGGGCTTCTTAAAAAATTAAGGCATATTAAGATTTTTTTATGGTCAGCAACGCGCGCCTACCATCCTTAATGCTACAGGCAGGGAGGAAAGGGATTGTTAGCAATGGAATTTGACAACCACATTGCTAGCAATATGCCCTATTAGGTCGACCTCCACGTGGTTCCCCCCGGAAACCATCGTGAACAATTTTTGTTGAATTCGTTACGATGGGCTAACTGACCTGCTTCATACTCACCTATCACTATCATCCTTCACTGGTGCCCCGCCGGTGTATACCGATAACACGGGCGGGGTTACCATTCCATTATCACCCATTAAAAAAATGTTACAGGCATCTACTTATAGACTACGGTAATCCCATTTACCATCAGTAGCACTGTATGCTTGTTTATCACTTAAATTGTATATAAAAAAATTTGGAATGGAGAAAAGAATAACTTACTTCACGCGTATTAATTAAAACTAACTGTAATATTAAACTATACGTATGATATTAAATTAGAAAACTATTATAGTTTAGAAACGTTATTATAATTCATAACAGAATTATAAGGAAACAACGCGGAAGCCGTAACCACTTCTAAATAATATTAGAATCACCATACTCAAATCACAATTGGTAAAGACATTGCGTAAAAAGCAAAACAGTGAATTTGAAAACCTCTATTTTTTTAAATTGGATAAAAAATGTATTACAATATTTTTTTATTATTATATTAAACTAAACAATTATGTTTCCCTTGACAGTTATGTTGTAATATACTCTTACTTGCTTGCCATTAATTGCTATGTTACAAAGATATGTTTGAAATCCATTAAGAAGGTTAAATATGTCAAAATGAGAGCTTCCAGTAGGGATTGCTCTGTTCAAAAATACAAAAAAAAACTACATTCCATTTTAAATGTACTTTTTTTTTCTCTTGGCAGCGGTAACAGCATTCTGAGGGCATTATGTAATAAATACGATAGCCCGATCCTCTCATTGTGGGTCAAAATTATTATAGGGGCCATAAAATGAATTTTGTATATTTTTTTTTCTACTAACATAGTTTAAGTCAATTGTTACTAACAAAAATGGATCTTTGTAATCTATAAAGTAAAGAAATATTAATATTATTATTAATATCATACAAGAGAAATTGGTGATAGACTTCTTACAGATTCTAATATTTGTTCTAAAGCAACGGTTGTATTTTTTGGCCGTTCTCAGCTAAAATTGCATTTCCAACTGGGCGGTTGATTAATAAAAAAATGTCGATTTAAAAATACTTATAATTAAGATAACTTGAATAAAAAATATTTTCATTTATTTAAATCGCTCTCAAAATAATTATATTATGAATATATATTACAGTATTTTTTTATTTAAAGTTTAATGTACAATAAAATTGTATGTACATTTGGCGGACTTGACATCGGACGGTGTTCTCTACCAGTCAACCATTGGGCAAACAAATATGTAAGTAGGCGGTTCATTATTGGATTGAGGAAATATAAAAAGTAATTCTTAATATGTTCATATAATATAAACTTATAATTAGACTAATATAAACATACAGATAGTATGTTAAATAAATAAATATATACATAAACATATCGCCTTTGCTAACATTGTTATTAACTTATTGTTGTTACTGTATGTTTTAGTGCAATAAAGAATATATATATATAATTTTAACAGACGGAAGTAACATTTTATACATCTTGATAAAAGTTAAAGTTAACCACAATTTTTCTGGTTAAATTAACTTGAGTACGATTTCCTTATTACGATTTCACTGTACTTTTGGGAGATTTAAAAATCATTTTTATGTAATCACGTTGCGCGTTCTGAATCAATTTAAACTTTTTGTTTTGCAATTGACGGATTTGCTCTCTATTTTGATATCATTTTAATTTTGCGTGATTGAAGTAGCCGTTTGTCTTAGCAGAGCAAATAGCAGCCTGTTTCGAAGTAAAATCTACATATAAATTAGGGTTGCCAACTTTTTTCACTAGAAATAAAGTATATTTAGGTCTGCGAAAAACATTAAATAATATTTTAGAAGAAGGAACTACTGTTCGTTCTTATATGTTTATTTAAATACATATTTTTTTAAACTTATTGCACAACTTATTAATTTAGTCTTTTTTTTAAACTTCGTATGTCTCAACACAATTATAATTAAAAATAAATGCTCATATTTTATTGAATTAATCTGCACTGAGCGCCCTCTGACTGAATAAAAAAAAATATTGTGTGAGCCTGTAACACTTATAGTAAGTATAGTGTAAAGCATTTTGATCCTTGATACAGTATTTTGAATACTTTATTTTTGTTCAACAGTAAAAAGTGTAATGTAGTGAAAAATAGTATAATACTATGTTTAACAGTACAGTTGGCAACCCTAATGTAAATGCATGATTCTAAGTTCTTAATTCAAATATTTACAATGTAGGTCATTTATGAAACTTAGTCTTGCATATAACACGAGGCTATCTAAATACTGCCTTATCTACGTAATATTGTGTTTATGATTAAAGTTTTTTTTTTACAAAGAAATATTTGTTTATTTATTGGTACATCTACAGCGTTACATATTTTCAATTTCATTTGATTATATCACTTAATACAAACATGTTAAGTTTTTATATAGGTTTTTTTAATGGGTGATAACGGAATGGTAACCCCGCCCGCGCTATCGGTATACACTGGCGGGGCACCAGTGAGGAATGATAGAATAATTGATGAGAGAAATCCAGTAGCTGCCACGCTTGACAGTCGAGTTGGCAACCTCAATCAGGCTTTGGTTATATTTTAAGACGGACGCTGCTTCCCATCCCTCAACCAAGTAAGTTCTTAAGTTCCCTCAGTCGCTTCTAACGATTTCCACGGAAAATAAAGGGGTGGTCCATTCTATGCCGGAACCGCACGGCAATAATAATCATAATCATGTGGAAATATAAATTCTCGTCTATTTCTAGGTACGATAACAACAGTCTACGCTCTTCTACTAGCTGGCGGGACTCTCTTCCTGTCGAACGGCATCGAATCATACGTGTCCGCCATTCAAAGCTTAGACCTGTCGAGACCTTCAATATTCGTCATTAAATTCATACTGGGCGCACCGTTTGCCTACCACTACTTCTGTGGCATCCGATACTGCGCTTGGAACGCTGGAAAATGGCTAGCCATGAAGGACGTGTACGCAACAGCGTATAAATCTGTCGTGTTGGCCGCCATTGTAGCATTATTTTTTGCTATCTTATAATAGTCAAAGAAATCATCTAATCTCGCCCAGTCATCATTCTAGAAAATCATCAATGGATTTAAATATTTTTTTTTTAATTCATTTAATTAAAATTATAATTTGTAATGCTTTATTCTTGTTTGGATTATGTGTAAGCAAATTTTACGTTTCTATTTTATCCTTTTTTAGTACTTTAAATCATATGTCTACATCTAGATAGAACGAGTGTCACAAAATGCCTTTAAATAGATTAAGCAATATTTTAAATACACTATCGAGACTTAAGGTGACGTGACTGCAAGTAAATAGTAACTACATACCTCATTTTGATTGTCGACGTGTATTAGCGTGGATTAAAATAAATCTTGCAATAAAATTCAGGTATGTAAGTACTATGTACACGAAATCGCGTCGCTTTAGTCCCGATAGTGTATATAAAATATGTGTCAACAACGCGAAAGTTCAAAATTAACTATATATATATATATATATATATATATATATATATATATATATATATATATATATATATATATATATATATATATATATATATATATATATATATATATATTCTTAATTTCTAATCATAAATAAATTATTTGTTCATTAAATATTTATTGTATATAAACAAAATAATAATTTATGTTTTAAACATTTTAAATATGGCTGTTTTTCTTAGAGCGGTTGGGACTAACTAGATGTTATTAATCTATATTTAGTACTTAAATTACTAGGATATAACATTATCTATAAAATCAGTCCCAGGGAAGAAAATGCCCTGGATATTACGTTTATAGTAGTACAAGGCCGTTTGTTATTACAAAAGATATTTCCAATTATTATAATAACGAGAATCTTAGCTGTCAATTACAAGCGCTGTCTTGGATGCATCGGACTACGTAATATCCCTGTGGAAGAATTTACCTGAAGCATTAGATAATTCATTAAATTTCCATTATTTATGTCGTGACTTCTTGATTGGTTCATTTGACAGAGCAGAATGGTTTTAAAATGCTCAAACGACTCAGCGGTTACGAAAAACTTTGAGGTTTTAGATTTTTTTTTTTTTATACCACTGAGATAGCAAACAAGCATACAGCCCACCTGATGGTAAGCGGTTACCGTAGCTTATGAACACCTGCAATACCAGAGGTATTACGCGCGCGTTGCCGACCCTGAAAGAACCTCTTTTGATAAACCCCATGCTGGAGTCTCTTGGGAAAACCTCGGCAGGGAGCTCATTCCATAACCTGAGTGTTCGTGGGAGGAAACATCTACAAAACACATTAATAATTTGTTAACCCTGTAACTAATATGCGATTTTTCGAAATTTATACACTTTATTACTTATTTAGTTGTTATGACAAATGTTTTTATTATATAAACATTTTTTTTTTTTATAACACGTACTTTTATTTCGTCAATACGGAAATGTCCAGCACACCGCTTCTTTTACAAATAGTGCGAAGATTTACGTAGCTACTGCAAATGACAATGTGTAAGGGAAACAAAAATGACAATTAAAGAGGTGAGACGAAAAACCAATTATAACTGTAAATGTACACATATTATTTTCTCTTTTATGTAACTTGACAAACAAGCTGACGGCCCACCTGATAGAAAGTGGTAACCGTCGCCTATAGACATGAACAGTACAATGGAATTAATTGAGTTTACCGTGTCGCCCCACATTGCCGTGGACTAAGATGTTTTGTCTCCGTGCCCTGTAATTTCACAGCCAAACAACTGCTTCACAGCAGGAACGCGAATGGAAAGTATCCAAGTAAAATTTTGTCCCCTCTGGTATATTAAGGTACGTCACTAATCAATTTTTTTTCAAACTTTTTATTGATTATTTTATAATCAAAGATAATTTGTAACTAAATTTTTAAATCGGCGGGAGATTTCATTTATTTTTTATCGATACAGTAATAATTTATCATAATTTTTGACTTTATTCTCATGCATTGTACAACTTTGTAACAGACCATATTACTAGCAAGAAACTATGCAATTGTGTAAGTTATAATTCACACAGGTGAAGATCGCGTATTATGTGTCACTCCACATTTATACATAATAATAAAGATCATTCCTTAATTTAGAAATTCTGCATCAAATTATCTTTACTTACAAAGTAATCAACAAAAACGACAAATCTCGATTCCAGCGCTGTCCTTGCCATTCCATGTTTAATTTTGTTTCGTGACCTTAATATTTAGTTGTTACATTGTCTGCCACATCACCTACATGCGTAGTGTGATATACTCAAGTATAGACTGGAGATGACAATGACAAAGGTGAGAGAGAAAAAAAAAAACAATTATAGTTAATAATGTGCTTTTTATGTAAATAGTTGCATGTGACAGCTTTGAGTTTTGCAAATAATTGTATAGTGCAATAAAAATAGATTCCAATAAGGAAATCTCTGTATCCCTGAGACTTGACACACATATTTATTAGGTTAAGGAGACTACATAAAAAAGACCACCTCCGAAAATTGGGTTGAGATGATATTTTTATGGGTTCCATACGACATATTCAAAACTACTCGACAAATATGAAGCGTTTAAGGAAAATGATACAGCTGAAGCCATTGTGTATATATTTTTCTGTTTTTCCGCATATTAGATGGAAAATTGACCAAGATAATTTCAAGAGTTTTGTGGACTTCGATTTACGCGTGAAATGACATTATTCGAAATCTCTAAAAAAGGGCACTAAAAGGGAAAGATTTATAACGATGTTGTAGAATATTTTGCAACATTGTTTATTTATTATAAAATTCACAGCTGTTAATCTATGACGCCATTGTGTTATTTTTAGTACTTATAAACAATTACGGATTTAGGATTTTTAATTTATTACTTATTTAGCAATCAAGTATTCACAATGTTCAATTTATGTGTGTGAGTGAGTGCGTGCGAGTGCACGAGCGCGCACTCGTTTATGTGTGTATGTGTGTGCTTTTGTGTGTGAGCGTTCTAAAGAGAAGGCTTGACGTAAAACTAGTTCTATATATATATATTTTTTAAACAACTTAGAATGGCAAACAAGCTGACGGCCCACCTGATGGAAAGTGGTAACCGTCGCCTATAGACATGAGCAGTACCATGGACACAACAGAGTATACAGTTTCGCCCATGATACCCTTCATGCGTTGCCATTCCTGAGGACTCGGGTGTTATTCCTCTGTACCCAGTAAATTCACGCTTTTTGACATTCGTGTAATACAGATATAAATATGTTAATTATATAACCAACATTATCATCATGTCAGCTTTTAATATGGGTTAACAGTAGTTGCCAGTCTTGGCAAGCAGATTGGCAATCGCAGTTAGGCTTTAGAAATGTTTTAAGAGGGACGTTGCTCTTACGACACTCACGGTAAAGGAAGGAGTGGCCATATAATTTTCCACTACGCATCGGCCATTTTGAAAGCCCCGTACATACACACACGTAATGTCTTACAGTTGTCTTTAACAGAAGCTGCCGGTAATGAAAACGCTGTCGGAGTTTTTCTCCCCCCCCCCCCCCTACCATTACATTTCAAACACAAGTCCTGACCTTCTGATACAGATTCGTATTGTACTTATCGGATTTGTTGTTGACATGTCAAGTTACACTATCGGACGAAGTACTATTTCAAGTAGGGATTTTTAGTGATGGGGTCAAATAGCCCCATTACTAGCAATATACCCTGTCAGGTCGACCTTCACGTGGTTTTAGTTCTCATTATTGTTAGCAATATGCCCTATCGGATTGATCTTCACGCGGTCGTCCCTGGAGACCATTACCATTGATTTCTATTGAATTTGGTGCGATGATATTGTATGGCATTAGCATAGACGGGTGCCCCATTCAATATGAATTTATAAAAAAAATGTATGAGTAATAAATATTCCCTTTCCAAAAATCTACATAATCACAGCTGCTGGATGGAATATGACCTTGAAGATACGGAAACGAAACTCAAAATTCACAAGTTCGTACAATTTGCATTGGTCAAGTTTTTTTTTATTTATTTAAGAACTTTTATACATTTTAAGCGTACAATAACCGGTGAAAATAAATGTATTTTTAAAGTTAAAAAAAATATCTTTTTTTTTCTCTTATTGTTACCTTGACATTGAACAATTGTTTAAGAGTTCTTTTAACAATTGTATTTTATAAGTTATTTTTTTTATCTTCTTTTATTTTATTTTCATTTTTTTCTTATTGTCGTGCACTTGTACTTTTCGTATTACCTTGACATTATATAACTTTTATAAGAATTCCTTAAATAGTTGTATTTTTTAAGTTAAAAAATATTTTTTTTTTTTATTATTCTAACCTTAACCACAGATAATATTTATAAATACTATCACCATATCAGCCTTTAATCGTTCACTGGTAAACACAAACCTCCCCCTTGGGGGGTTCTACCAGTAGTTGCCACGCTTAGCAAGCGGATTACCACACGCAGTCAGGCTTAAGAGATATTTAAGAGGGACGCTGCTGCCCATTCCTCGCCCTGCCTTAGTCGGTTCTTGCGACACCCATGGAAATGGAAGAGGTGACCTATTCTATGCCGGGACTACACGGTACTAACCACTAACTAGCGGGGGAAAGGGATTGTTAGTAATGGAGACTGAGAATCCCATTGCTAGCAATAATATCCAACCAGGTCGACCTCCTCGCGGTTCCCCCTGGAAACTATCATGGTTAATTCCTGATGAATTCATCATGATGGGCTAACTGGCCTGTTTTCATTCCCATCGATCACCCTTCACTGGTGCTCTGCCAGCGTATCCCGTTAGCGTAGGCCGGATTACCATACCATTTTCACCCATAAAAAAAAAACCACTAACTAGCAATAACTAGCCTTAATAAATAATGCTGTTATAAGAATTCTATATCGTTTCTATCCAGCTATTGCTATAATTTGCGGAGTGAATTATCATAAAATATACCTTTTTTTTTTTAAATCGAGTATACAGTACAACTTTTCACCAAATTTTATTCAAATATGTTCAGCCGTTAAAGGGTGATTGAGTGATGGGAGTGATAAACACTCAATCATCGAAATCTGTATTAATAATATTTTTTTTATGCAACTTAGAATAGCAAACAAGCTGATAACCCACCTAATGGAAAATGGTAACCGACAGAGTATACTGTTTCGCTCATAATACCCCCCATACTTTGCCATTCGTGAGGACTCAGGTGTTATTCCTCTGTACCCAGTAAATTCACGCCATATCCCACCCTTCAAACCAAAACGCAGCCATGCAAACACAACTATATCACGGTACAAACACGAATAGGACAGAGGTGCTCAAGCAAACGACTTTTGTACAAAATCTCCCTCCCTGATCAATATTTATGTATTTATTAAACTTTAATACACAGAGAAAGCGTAAAAGGCGGAGTTAACACCATATCGTCATAGTCGTAGAATACTGACGGATCT